TTAAAATTCACAAACTAGCGTTCAAGTGCACTGAATATAAAAATTAAAAAATATGTTAAATTACATTTTTCAAATCTTTATCGAAACATAGTTGTACAAAGGACATGCTGGACATGCGTTACACGACAGCAACCAAACGACCTAAAAAACCGACAGATATCTAGAGGTCAACATAGAGCTTGAACATGTTTAGCATAATGATAAAAAAAAATGCGTCAATTTTCATGAAAAAATTGCTTCGAGCTTCTTAACGATAAGTCCAGCTACGATAAAGACCATCTAAACTCGACTATCGTCTTCGAAGATCTACAATTTATTATTTTATTTTATAATGTCGATGTAAGTCTTAGAATGATTAGAATAAATTACTTTGTTTTACATAAATAAGTTTCTACGAACTGATTCGAAAATTGTCTCCTTCAAACTGTACTTTTTATATATGTTTTTAATTTCATTTTTTTAATATATATGGCTTTTACTCAATTATATAAAAAAAATCTTCTGTTCCATATAATATTGATTATATGGCGTGTACATCTTTATATAAAGTCGCATTGCGAAATCTTCAAAATTGGACGACGAAGCCGGTCTTCTGGTTTCTCTGCACTTGACCGTTTACTTTCTGTGATTTATCAACACATTAGTCGGCACTTCGGTCTTTGTCAGTTTTCAGGTTATCGTTTAATCATAAATGTTGTGACATCTATTAAAACATGAAAATTTTGTAATTAATAAAAGGTTTCATGAAGAAGAAAACACCATAAACATTGAAAATTATTTCCTTACAAAGTGAAACAATTGCGTCATCCAATGGATTGAAACAAACTTCTCTGACTTATGATAAACTTTCATTCTTATCCTATCAAATATGGTTACAAGCTTTCCTTGTCTTAGTATGTTTATGCGAACAGTGCAATCGATAACGAACCAAGAAGAACTAATTGAATATGTATGTCCATTTCTAGTTAGTAATAAGGAACGTACATTAGTAAATTGACGGAAAATAAGTTACTTCATCTATATTACATGATGGTACATGAACATGTAAGTGTATGAATAACTAACAGCAAGATTGCATTGACAATTTTATATAGTATGACCTTTCATTTTGTTCTGCTGATATGATAACTTATAATCAAGTCCAATCGTATCCTCATACAGGTGTTACACGACTATATCCATGAAGGTGTCACCCGGTCGGCCCCTATGTAAGAACATTTAAACTAGTATTTGTGTACGTACTATTTGAATCCAAGGACTTTGTGTCTGTTGAATTTTGTTACACGAATTTCATTTAGTTATGTCGATCAGTTTGCTTATTGCCAGAGACATATAATATGCAATGTCTCTGGTATTGCCAAAGTAAATATTATATTTGATTAAAGTGTGAAAAGTGATATGGGGATAAACAAATAAAGCTTTGAAAATCTAGTTTAAAGTCTATCATTTGACTGTCATGTACTTGCGACAGACAGTAAATATAACGGTTCAATATTGAGATGATATTTTATAACTGCAAGTTAGTGTATAAGGTTTAGAGATTTTGTAAAAATCCTGATAAGAATCATAATTATCAGATCTGTCTTCTGCGGGGACTATAATACATCGGAGACAAAATAACGTTGTAATAATTTTGTTTTACGATTTTACGAAAAATCGTTTGTGTAAATCTTTTGAAAAAAGAAATAGAGTAGTTCTACCCAAAGTATACAAATGTAATTAAAAAAAAAATGGAAATCTTGAGTAAATGTCTAAAATAACGACCACATTTATTTCTGAAAGTTAGTACAGGAAGGTGTGTTTTTTATAACATATGTCATTTTGTCAGGTAACAAATAGCGTGTATTAAATTTTTTAGGTCTTTTCTGGGATCAAAACTGTATCGTTTGCCCTTAAGAATTACATGTACTATCGCTTCCATTATATATATAGAATACATTTTATTTTAACTGATTTTTTTTAATATACGTGTCAGCCTAAATAGCATGACGCGTCATTATTTCAAGTCGTTTTTACCTCAGAAAACCGCGTAAAAACGTAATTGGAAAGAAGTCACAAGCTCTTTGAGCACATGCATATAAAGGATTGAAGAATGTTGAAGAAATGGCAACCATTTATTCAGACAGGTACACAAACATAAGCCAGCTATAACTAGTGTTATGACTACACAACCCTCCTTCTATTGTCTGAACCGCTAGTGTAACAAACGATTGATGCACATTGAAAACGCATGAAACAATAAATCATGCGTAGACACCTACCAGTTTTGACCAAACATTTTCTTCGGAAAATGCCTATGCTCAGTCGGGAATATGACAGTTGTTTTCCATTCGTTTTGTTGCGTTTGTTGATATAGTCTAACGTTTAACTTTGTCAGGTTTAATGGACTTCCGCCTTTTTGAATTTACCTCGGAGTTCGGTATTTTTGTTAACACTTTGAAAAATCTGATTAATTCTTCATGAATTTTTAATGCTGGTTATTACTTAAAAAATTACAAGAAGTATATTTTATTTAATTTAATTCCATTGTGCTTCTCACGTGATCATATTAGCAGTTTTACTTCTAACCATATTTCGTACAGCGAAACTGGATTATGGATAATGACGATGATAAGGCCGTGTCTGCTTTTGTCTTTGTTTTGCGTCAACTCAATTTGTGAAAACCTACCAGCCAGCCAGGAAAAACACACACAGAGAAAAAAAAACGCAAGGTCTTGCATCTTAATAAAGAAGAGAAAACTTGCGGATGAATCAAGGATGGACAACCTGTAGACTTAGACAACATTAGGAACAATGCTAAGACTGATATTAAAACAGACATACAGAGAGAACACAACACATCTAACTAAAAATGAAGATGACTGAATACTCTACCAAACAAATGGGAGTGAACTCAATTATTCCGGATGAGAAAGCAATTTCTGCCTCTTAAGAAATTTGAAGCACATCTGTTTGTAATTAATTAGTTTCTTAAAAGGTCAAAAGCTATAATATTAAACATTGTGCAAAAGCTTCCACGATAAAATGATATATTGTATAAAACGAGTTAAGTAGGGCATTTTCTCAATAAATATATAATGCACTTAAATTTTGAACCGACAGTAAATATCACGGTTAAAGAAATTTTAATGCCATTATTACATTATTGATCATAAAGATGGATGACTCGTTGGCGTCCAGTCGCAAAAGAAAATGAATATGCAGGACTAGAACGCTGTTTTATACCTTGACAGCCACGTTGAGACGGGTTTTAACGTGCTACATGTACTACAGAAAGAAAAACCACGCATGAATATATATCACCCTACCCGGACACATTATTCTGACTCCAAACCAACTGGTATTTGCTCGTAATCTTAAGTGTTGCGTGTCTAGCGGAAAAGCAGCCAATACCAATTTTCAAGGCCTGGGACGAAACTACCTAATTGACTAACAGCACGTTATGACATGTGATTATCTGATACATGATGGTTGACAGATTTATGACTGTCATAAATGAATCAATCTTAATTATCATTATACAATTAATCACAAGACATTGGCACACTTACGTTCACCTTTCAATCCAATTGTTCATCTTAAAGTTTCATATAAAATTTTGTAATTATCAGTCTGATTCTTCATTTTGAAAACCAATTATTGACTCCGTAACACCAGACTGTAAAAGTTTTAAAGAGTTAAACTAAAAACTCAGTCATCAAAAATTATATAATGCAAATCTTTACAAATAAAACCCGTGTTCGTGAATCGTTTGATTTGACTTATAAATTCTTCATTTCAGCGAGTTTTTTGAGATATTAAAACTCCTGTAAAAATCCGCACATTTTATGTACATAGCTTTTAAGCAGACACATTTTATTGAAGGAAAATAACTTGAATATCAAGAGGGTTCATATCCATCGTCTTTACACCGAATGAACCAGAAAAGAATATAAATGACATAACTGTTATGTAATTCATTAATATGGAGTTGAATGAACGTACGTACTATTTTTGTTACTTAAAACTTTTAAAGTTGGGATAAAGAATACATTCATTTGTCAAAAACTATACTCCATTTTAACACTTATAAAGAGATTTATTGTGGAAGTTACACGTGCAGGATTTTAATAAAAAGGGCATTTCACGTCTATCTTCTTACGGTGATATTATGTACAAATTTAGGTATTTTCTTTCAAATCTGTCCGTTTGATTTGATTAAAACACTGGACGATTTAGAGATTGGTACATTGTAAAGCCACTTATTTACTGTTGAAGACTGTATGTTATTCTTGATAGGTGTCATATGGGTAATTTTTTTTGGCTTGCTCTCTCATTGACGTAATCGCCAACATCACTTTTTTCATATAAAATATCAACATTTTAGGGGTAAATTTAGGTTATTATATCCAGTTTTAGGAAGAGCAGAGTCTTAAAGTTTCATTGATTCCAAGAAGTTCTAAAAGTATTATTTCTTCTTTCTTTTACTCCTGTAAGGTGAACCAATTTATTCTCTATTTTTTTTCACTATTTTCACATTTCCCACACGATTGTTCTCCTCACTAGTGAAAAAAACTGTTCTCGGCAAATAATTGGTCGAATTATAACGTCAAATTTTCTTGTAGTTTCTTCTGAATTTCCTATTGTGACGCCATGAAAAAAGGCGACTATGCCTGGTGACGTCACATATAAAGAACACAACTTTCTGCAAATCTTTGAAAAGGAAGGATAAAAATCATTAGAGAAACAGATTACACCACTATAACTCGTGTATTACGATATTTCTCCACTCTCAACAGTTAAATTTTAATTATTTAAAAAGCTCGGCAAGCCTCGCGCTTTAAATATCAAAATTTAACTATCTCGAGTGGAGAAATATCGTAACACACTTGTTGCAGTGGTGGAATCTATATTTCATAAGTACCATACGATGCAGTATTACAACACAAACATTTCTTCTAATCTAGTAAAATGCTGGCTAGAAAATATGAAAGCATTATAAATTTTATTGTTTGTTTCAGTACATTCATATGAGGTTTGGAAGACTTGTAAGAATCATTGCCTGTATTGTTTACTTAGTTTGGATGGTAAGTATTAACAGTTTGACATCTTTTCAATATTATTATTTCCAAAAAGGTAGTTAATGTCTCTTTCATGAAGACTCGTCATTTAATCTGGTCTGTGGTAAAAAAAAATATAATTGAGCGAGTAATGGCAAACTATAGATCGAACGCACCTTTTCAATTTTGGAAATGACCAGAACGGTATTCGAACCCCTCTTATGATCATAGGCTTAATTGGACAGTACTGATAGATATAGACCACTCGACAGCAAAGTATGAGAATTGATATACCCCTACCTTTTTGTAGCTACTGCTCCTATAAAATACATTGGAATTACCCTTCTAATATGAAGATACAATTTTGATTATTCTTAACGTATCAAGGGAGAACATTTTACAATTCTACTTTTCATCTTAACTTTTTTTATTGTGTTTTTCACTTTAAAATGCAATGAATTTCACATTTCTCATCAATCTTCTTTACCTTTTAAATGCAATTTCACATTAGCTTTACGCACGGTTTTAAAGTTATAGAATCCGGTTAAAAAAGTGAAAATTTATAGAGCCGGATACTGATGCCCATTTTACATATCATTCGAATCATTTTATTAAAATTACTTCTCTTATTTGTCAGCTACTTCAAAGGGGTATGTCTAGTCATCGAGTTTATCTTAAATTTACGCTTCAACTTGCTCGATTTAAAGCTTGAGACAAAGTTCGAATTATTTTTTTTTATTTCGTCTTTATTCTCGAGTTTTGAGTTGAAACTAATTTGCGAGGTAACATTGGTTTGACTTGTGAGGTTTCAGTTATTAAATTCAAAATTGTTTTGCATCTCACCCCCTTTTTTTTTAATATTGTATTTATATTGTGTCATTATAGATCAAATTTATTCGTTCAGTATATGTTTACTTGTTTTTGTTAATATGTCTTTTTGATTGCGTTAAGCCATTTCAATTGATATTTTATAGTGTGTCTTTCTATGTTGTAGTGTTACACTTCTATTTCAGGTTAGGGTGAAGGTTGGCGCCTGTTTAAACATTTAAACCCGCTGCATTTGTTTGCACCTGTCCTAAGTCAGGAACTTGTTGTTCGGTGGTTGTTGTTTGTTGATGTGGTTCATATGTGTTTCTCGTTTCTCATTTTTTATATAGATTAGACCGTTGGTTTTCCTGTTTGAATTGTTTTACACTAGTCATTTTGGAGCCCTTTATGGCTTGCTGTTGGGTGTGAGCCAAGGCTCCGTGTTGAAGACCGTACTTTGACCTATGATTGTTTACTTTTTACACATTGTGACTTGGATGGATAGTTGTCTCAATGGCACTCATACCACATCTTCTTTTTTCTATTATATAAAACAAAATAGAATTAAAGATCATCTACAACAAATTCCTTTGTAATGTATTCCATAAGTTATTTGAAAAATCAGCGGCTCGTTGGTCGAGTGGTCTAACTCTGAGGTTGTGAGTTCGAACCCCCATGTGGCAGGTGCGTTCGTCTAGGATCGCAAGTTGTCCTGTTAGAGGTCGGTGCTTCTCTCGTGGTAATTTGGCTTCCTCAACCAATGAAATCTGCCCGCCACGACATAGCATAGAGTGCTGAAAGTGGCTTTAAACACCAAATATTAATCAATCAATATTTCATAATCAACGGTTTTGAAAATTAATTTATAACATTACTTACTAGTATACTAATTTATGTATAATAAATACACGTTTTTCCTCTTTCAGTTGTTCTACATGTCTATTGTACTTTATGGTCCATCATTAGCTCTCAGTGCAGGTAAGATAACAATGTTACGTAACGTAAGAAGTTATCAAAATCAAAATCAGAAATCGACGAAGTACAACACAATGACTACAATAAAGAGCCAAAAGTAGGAAAAGGACCAACCTTGAAAACTGAAAATTAAACTTAAAGGTGTTAAAAACTGGAGTGAACTCAGATGCTTAATATGATATACGCCTGGCACCGGTTGAATGAATAATTGTATTACATCATACAGATTTGACAAAACATCATCAAGTTAAACGATTTACCAAAAAAATATTACTCTTGAAAAAAATAGTATCTGAGAGGCGGAAGATGCCAAAGTGATTTTCAAACTCATAAGTTGAAGACAAACTAATAACACCATGACAAAACAGCAATAACAGAATAAAACCAAGCTTAGTTTCTTGATTCCTGTTTCGCTGTTAACAGATATTGCTTTATCACTATACCATTCTGCAGATTAATTAAAAGGTTAAACATCGTTGTCCCCAGTCAAAGAGCTGATAACAGTTGATTCTGAGTTTGAGATTTTTGTACATAAGATGAAACTTTTTATCAACAAATATTCTATTTATGATAGGCAATAAACTGAGCAGATGCTGCATAAAGACGGCTCTATTTATTTTAATAAATTAAGTAGGCAACTGCTTTATTGTAAACCTTGCTCTCCTTGACTGTCTTGGTAGAGACTGCTTACAAGGAACTTCAAAGGTGTAAAGTTGATCGTCTCTTTGAAAGTTTACGAACGCCATCACAAACTGGTTGACAGTTATGTAATATCTGTGTAGTAATCTGCTCGTCTTTCAGTTCGTCCGTCAGTGCTGTATTGGATTAAAATGTTTCGTTAAAGGTAGTTTACGAACGCCATCACAAACTGGTTGACAGTTATGTAATATCTGTGTAGTAATCTGCTCGTCTTTCAGTTCGTCCGTCAGTGCTGTATTGGATTAAAATGTTTCGTTAAAGGTAGTTTACGAACGCCATCACAAACTGGTTGACAGTTATGTAATATCTGTGTAGTAATCTGCTCGTCTTTCAGTTCGTCCGTCAGTGCTGTATTGGATTAAAATGTTTCGTTAAAGGTAGTTTACGAACGCCATCACAAACTGGTTGACAGTTATGTAATATCTGTGTAGTAATCTGCTCGTCTTTCAGTTCGTCCGTCAGTGCTGTATTGGATTAAAATGTTTCGTTAAAGGTAGTTTACGAACGCCATCACAAACTGGTTGACAGTTATGTAATATCTGTGTAGTAATCTGCTCGTCTTTCAGTTCGTCCGTCAGTGCTGTATTGGATTAAAATGTTTCGTTAAAGGTAGTTTACGAACGCCATCACAAACTGGTTGACAGTTATGTAATATCTGTGTAGTAATCTGCTCGTCTTTCAGTTCGTCCGTCAGTGCTGTATTGGATTAAAATGTTTCGTTAAAGGTAGTTTACGAACGCCATCACAAACTGGTTGACAGTTATGTAATATCTGTGTAGTAATCTGCTCGTCTTTCAGTTCGTCCGTCAGTGCTGTATTGGATTAAAATGTTTCGTTAAAGGTAGTTTACTACATCAACTTGAAATTTGGTACACATGCTTATTATAATGTGCACTTTTTTATTGTATGGAAAATTTGGTTTTTTACCCAATTTCATGGTTTACTAATGCAAACTAGAAATGGTGTCCTTTTGACACAGATTCTTGTTTTCTTTCAAATGTACGCCTTACGCAAACCACAAATAACAACCATGTTGTCAAGGTTAATATTGTTTACATACCGTATGAAGCTTTGATATTTGGGTGAATGCAGGTATTACATTATAATAACAATAAAGTCGTTGTTAGTACAAACAGAATCATGACCGCGTTCATAATATGAAATAATAAAACTAATAAAGCAGGTCACTTTTCAAAATTTTATTATCGGACTTCACCTGGTATTGACAAAGATTTTTAAAAGCGGTCGGCGTAAATCATGTCCTTCACCAAGATTTTCGGGGAGTTTGACGAATGCATGACGAAGAGGACTTAGAAGATCAAATAAAATATGTGAATTGAAATTAGATTTAAATTTTCATTATCTGAATTGAAAATGATGTATTCGACTCATTCATGTCGGCTAATTTTAGATTGTCACTCTTTTTTCACTTTTCTGAATCATCCGACTGAATTTGGATGGTTTAAAAGATCACGAATATTTTATAGCGTCTGACGTAATATGTTCGACAAGCCTTAATTTGAAAACAAATCATGTAAAATTATTATCATCTTCGCTATTCAAATGTTACGATCCATTCCCTTCTTCGTGGAGAAGAGGGGGACTGGTTCGTTACCCTTGGCTAGAAAAGATGAATTATTTTAAGAATCTCTAAAAGGTAATTGTCCTATTTGAAATCTCATATTTAGGGAAATATATTCTTGTATGTAAAACAAATTTTAGGTAAAATTTGAAAAGGGACGATTTCTATCCACAGCCAGCACATACTATACAAAGTCGAAACAACATTGGTCATCGGTTTTAAACTGTTTCAAAGAGTATAGTTTTTTCTGAATAGACATGTGGAAATTTCGATGGTAACCACGTATTCCGTTGGCTTCTGATCATAGTTGAAGGTCATACAGTGAATTATAGATTTTCATTTTGCGATGACGATTATTATCAACAGCAAAAAAAAAAACCCACTTTACAGAAAGGTCTTTTAACCTATTGCCTTATTATAATATTTTTCAGTAACCGGTATAAGTTTGTGGGGCTCTGTGGTAGCAGTAGGAGTTGTGTGTACATTCTATACAACATTGGTAAGGAACGTCCTCATTAATAAAAGAATAGTTAATTAATCCACGCAAGTTATAAATATCTATCTACTTCAAAGAAATGAGCAATTTTCCGAAACAGAACGTACAATATGAAAACTTATCATAGATACGAGTCTTACAATATCATACGCCAGACGCGCGCTTTGCGTACTCTTAAGATTCATCTGTGACGCTTTCATAAAAAAAAAGTAAAAAAGGGCAAATAAAGTACGATTGTTTAGTATCTAATAATCCGATTAGAACAATTTCCTTATATTAATATTATTGTTTATGTTGAGTTTAAGTGAGAGACGTGCGCATTCTCTATCTCTATATCTATTTTAATATTTAATAGTGTCTCAACCATCATTTATAAGAATTTCACCGTGGTCTCGTGTTCGCCTCAAGTGCGGGAGGTCGTGGGTTCGAACCCCGGCCGGGTCAAACTAAAGACTTAAAAATCGGTATTTTCTGCTTCTCCTCTAAGCACGCGGCATTCAGAAGTAAGAACAAAGACTGGTCGGCTCGGAATCAGAATAATATGTCCGGGTAAAGTGATATATGTCTCCCTGCGAACTAGCACGTTAAAAATCAAGTTCAACGTGTCAGTCTAGTACAAATCAGAGTTAATGTTCATATTATGTTAACATTTTCTCGTCCCGAATAAACATATTAATTTGACTCTGGACGTTAGGTAGCAATCATCATCATCATCATCATCATCATCATCATCATCATCATCATCATCATCATCATCATCATCATCATCATCATCATCATCATCATCATCATCATCAATCATCATCATCATCATCATCATCATCATCATCATCATTTTCAAGCTTAAGTACATGAGGATTATGAAGTACAGTATGTATACTTGATTGTTGGGTGAACAATTTAATAATCATTAGCTTTATGACTACATGCACGGGTAACAATTACACTAAAAGCAAACCAGATCAAGGAACTATGTTTATCACTATCATAATTCATAATTGAACAACATTTGGGAAACCTGTTATAAACTTTTTGGTTTTCAGTGCTCTTCCACCTCGTTATTAACTATTTTGATTCCAGCACCACGCGCCACTCATTAATCTAATGGAGACGTATACAATCCACTCATTAATCTAATGGAGACGTATACAATCCACTCATTAATCTAATGGAGACTTATACAATCCACGCATTAATCTAATGGAGACGTATACAATCCACTCATTAATCTAATGGAGACGTATACAATCCACGCATTAATCTAATGGAGACGTATACAATCCACTCATTAATCTAATGGAGACGTATACAATCCACGCATTAATCTAATGGAGACGTATACATATAAAATCCACTCATTAATCTAATGGAGACGTATACATATACAATCCACTCATTAATCTAATGGAGACGTATACAATCCACTCATTAATCTAATGAAGACGTATACAATCCACTCATTAATCTAATGGAGACGTATACATATACAATCCACTCATTAATCTAATGGAGACGTATACAATCCACTCATTAATCTAATGGAGACGTATACAATTGTCTTTTCTGTTAGTGACATGTATATATGAAAGAACAGATCATTTGACAACGGCACATGAATGAATAATTTGATGTTTTCATCAATGAGTTATCCTTGTCGTTTATCTAAGCATCTAAGTGCTTTACTACTTCCATGATCTAATCGACCAAAGACGTGAGTTCGTGTCGTTTAAAATCAAAACGTATTCTGTTTCATTTGCATAAAAATGTGATTACTATTGAAACATACAAATAATACCGTTTCAACAATAATCTAGGGTGGAATGAAGGCAGTGGTATGGACGGACTCATTTCAAATGTTGGTAATGTTTGCTGGTATGTTCACGTTGCTTATAGCGGGTTGTATGAAGTTAGGTGGTTTAGACGTGGCATGGAATGTGGCATACAACAATGACAGAATTCAATTTTTGATGTAGGTATAGTATTATAAATGATCCTATGCTTACAAGTTTTGTCTTTTTTTGGTTAAGAGGATGATAAGTGATATCGTTCGGTACTTGTTGAACTGCATTTGATGTAATCAGTTTTGATTGAAAGTGTCTTTATTTTTGGAATCTTTTTTTCCAAATGAACTTTCAAGATATAAGTACACGAACATATAATTTGGTTAGATATACTAAATCATATTCATGTAACTTAGCAAAAATCACCAAAAAGGTGAATTTTTTTAAATTATTGTTAACGACGAATCACTACAATGTTTATGAAATCAAATAACTGGTATGTAAGAAATATTTAAATTAACATTTTAAAGATTACTTTAATAATTTACGCTACATTTTTAATCATCATTTTCGAATTATTTCAGCATGGACTTTGACCCTACAACCCGACATACATTCTGGAACGTTATAGTCGGTGGTGGTCTATTTTGGACTGCAGTATATGGTATAAACCAAGCACAGGTTCAGCGTGCGTTGTCCCTGCCTTCACTAAAAAAAGCAAAACTGTATGTTCTTTTCATAATTTTACTGGTTTTTTTTTTTTATTTCTTATCTTTTAAGACTAATGCATTTCTTGCTATATCCTGTGCAAAAAGTAATAGGTTGTTTTAGTCAGGTGTGAAAATATAGAAAGTTAAACTAGAACATTTTTATCCGTTCAGACAGATTATATGACATAACAATTTATCGTTGCGTAAACTGATATGGTCGCTAATAAAACTTGATTAAAGGTACTTTTTGTGCTAAATATGTTAGCTGATAATCATCGGTCTAGTTTGCTCATCGATAATTTCATAAAAATGTGTAATCCTTGTAATGTTTAACACACATACATTTCTTTGATTATTACATTTTAATTACCTTGCAATTACGTAAGAGTCTATTGAAATTATTATTACATTTTAGTTACCTTGTAATTACGTAAGAGTCTATTGAAATTTTTATAACGGTATTAAATATAATAAATAAACTTCAAACAGACTACGGTAATTGACGATACTAACTCTTAAATCAGTCTCTTTTGATTATACAAATCAAAGGAAAACACCTTAAGGAATCGCATTAATTTCAACTGGAGCGAGATCGGGTGTGACGCCATGGAAAGCGTCTCTTGTTATGAAAAGAAAACTCATCAAGGCTTCAAGGCTGTTATGAAAGCAGCGATCGCCGTGCGAATTCAGACTCAGTCAAAAATGGCCTGAAAGTAAATAATAAGGCCCTCCTGTGTTTGAATGATAACGTTTAACCAGCTTGCAATAGTAAGCTGAAATGGAACCGATGCCGACTGAATAAAAATATATTGTTCAAATTGGCGGTTAAAAAAGTTTTATAATAATTTCATTATTCTATATTTTTTTTTCATTTACCAAAATATATATTGCAGGGCCTTATGGTTGAATCTACCGGGTATGTTTATTGTATTGACTTTGGTGTGTTTGGTTGGTGTGACTATGTATTCTTTCTTTAGTACATGTGACCCTGTTACCCTAGGAATAGTCGAGAAAACCGACCAGGTACTATGAATAACATTATTACAACACTTGAATGAGAGTTATTATGAAGAGAGAGTTATTATGTAGATTTAAATGATTACAAACATACAATGCGAACATAGTTTCGTATTTCAAAAGAAAAATTTTGGAATTCGACAAATCCAAAGTTTTAACTTTAAGCTTTATTTAGATAAAAGATATGTGTAGTGTACGTCAGTGAGACAGCAACACAAGTCACAAATATATGTAACAAAAGTTACAAGTAGAAGATTCCTAATCAACGATGTTTGATGAATATTAGAGTCAAAATCCAGAGGACTATATACTAACGAGAATATTCAAAAGCATTCAGACATGTATAGGAACAGACAAAAAGAGAGGTTTATGAACACCGAATACTTAAAGCTAAACATTCGGGCAACACAAACTCCAAGCCTGACCGGTCGTGATATTGAGTTCGTTCTCTGGAAATGTGTGCATATACACCCTACGGTATCCAGATTTGTTAAAGGCCAAAATTGGTAAAACAAGGTTACGGACTTCGGGTAAACCTATCCTCACTTATTTGTACTTCGGTGGCGTGTTAACGAATATATTCGTGTTGGCGACCGTAGTTTCATAACGATATTACTTTCAGCTGAACATACCGTTGACTGAGCATTTAATGGTATGATGCTACTTAGAAAGGAAAAAATCGCAATTTGGAAGCAAACAAATCAGTCTTCAATATTAAATTCATTAACACTTATGAGAGTGTAAAATATAATTACATTTTCAATAGATTGAGAACTTTTGAATTTGCTTTTAGTAAATGCAAGAGTTCTTTGATTAGGTATATTCTAGGATGAGTGATGATTTGTTTTAACACATTGAATATCATTTAATAGATCTGCGACATACGTTTAAGAGACACCCGTACCAAATGACATAAAATACGAAAAGATATCTAGATATCGTCTATTGTAGGAAAAAAGTAAAATAACAAGGATTTGCATTTTCTATCCTATCATATTTTTACAGCACATTACAATTGATGTATATTATTTTCTTTTTTGCTTTTTTTATCAACATTTAAAAATAAGCATTAAAAAATATAAATGAATAACTTGATTTTGAAGCTGATCCCACAATTCACAATGGAGCTTGTTGGACACCTAGATGGTTTACCAGGACTTGTTATATCATGTGTGTTTAGTGGAAGTTTAAGGTACGTAGGATGCTGCATAATATTATTTTCTTGTTTGCGAACCCCCAAAAAGAAAATAGCATTTGTTAAATGTGTTGCGTCCGAAACGCTTTTCTGGATTTACCTTCATCGTGAACGCTCATACCCAATACCAAATACTTAAACACGTAAAGAGCTATACGATTCAAAGGGGCATAAAAGAATAACCAGATCCATTTTAGGTCAGCTGTGCCTGAGGGAGTTGGAACTTTAGTTTATTTTTAAATGCGATAAAAAGATAAACTGCTTAATACTATGAGGAAATTCTCTCACAGTTTAAAACAATACAGAGACATAGAAATAGTTAATAAGAAAAGTAAAATCAATAATATTGTTCACTTGAAAAAAAAAGGTAGAAGAGGACATTCGAAATTCGAGGAAAACTGACAACACGTACCATGTCAAAAAATGAAAGACGAAGGAAAGACAAACAAATCCACAAAACACTACATAGAAAATTAATGAGTAAGCAACACGAAACCCACCATAAACTGGGGGTAGTCTCAATCCGTGATGTCAAAATCGAGGAAAGGAGGGCGGAAAATTGGTAATGACTTTTGGAACATATCCGTGGTCATCTGTGACACAAATATTTCATAAAGGTCACCTAACGCATTCTGGCGTCCGTAAAACTTTCGAAGGGATAACGATGACTTCAACTTTACCGCTTGAAACTCTTGGTCCAATAGTTTCCTTGTAAGCAAGAAGCCTCTATCAAGGAAATCATGATAGAAACGCAAGCGCTGGAATATCGTCTTAACTGGGAGATATATACTAAGTATGTAGGCACTGCTAGAATGTTGCTCAATAGATATGGAAAGTTCACACTTGAAAAGTTATATTCATTCTTTTTGTTGTAATTTTGTTCTCATCCGACCCTCATTGTCAATTTCAAGATGTAAGTCAAGATATAAGGCAGTTGACTGTAGCTGTGGTATTGTTTATTTCACTTTCGATGGGATGGGTAGGTTCAACATACACACCAAACTTTGAATATTTAGTGAGAGGACATCATCTATATAGCGGAAAGTGAAGTTAAAGGATAATGCTAGCTTCTTTTCGTTCTCCCTGTGAAGCTGCTGTATGAAATCTGCCTCGTGTGATTTATGGAACAAGTCGGCAAGAAGTGGAGCACAGTTGGTTCCGATAGTAATGTCGATTGTTTGTTTGAAAAACACGCATTCCAAACGTTACAAATATGTTGTTAACGAAAAAAAAGTCAATTTTGATGACGTCAGTCTCAAGAATTTTTTGTTTGAATCAGAGTGATTATTATTTTAAATATTATATGTCCCATACATTATAAAACAAGATATGTGTACCTACATTGGCCATTCTTTTTAATGAAACAATGTAGGACTTATTCTTTTAGTGTAGAATGGGGAATAATAGTGTAAAGGGTGAAAGTCAAATGTTTATACGGTTGCAAGAGGAAATGAGACTAACATTGAATATACTCAAATTTTAATATCAACATCTGATGTATGAAGTATGAAGCTTCACCATTACTCTGAAGCCGGCTTTGGTTGGTGATAAAAGTAAATAATGATAGAATTATTAAGAATGTAAATATCGTATGAAAATAAAAGCAAGTGAATTAATGAGAGATGATTCAGGTACATCGTTTAAAAGCATATAATTAATGAATGTTCCATGTTTGTAGTACAATATCATCTGGATATAATGCTATTGCTGCCATTTTGCTGGAAGATTTTGTGAAGCCATGTTTTCCTAGAATGACATCATCTGTAATGACTGTGATTTCAAAAGTAGCCAGTAAGTTTACCTCATAATTTAGGAAAGACTTCCATACAATTTATCATTAATAATAATTCTTTATTGTCATATAAAAAAACAATATACTTGTGACAAATACAAATAATAAACAACAACAAACAATAAAACTGATTTGAATACATATAAGTGAATATATTAATGAACATAATAATAATTGAGTTACATACTTAAGTAGTATAAAACACATTTTGACATTCTGGCTGTCGTTCCTAAGCTAGATAAGGCGTCCTTGTTGGTGTATTATTTGGTTTACTATTCTTCAACTTTTGGTACTTTTGGGACTTTTAACTTTTGGTTGACCCACTACTGACAACATATCAATTAATACTACTTCATGCCAAAGTAAACATAGTGTTGTCAAATGAAATGTATTTAATCTAAGAAAAAATATCAAAGCAACTGCATTTCATACAAAAATGTTCAATAATATCGTTATTAGCGTACACATCTTTGTAAACTTCTGACATCGGACTCGGACTTCTCTTATACTGAGTTTTACTGTGCGTACTGTTGTGCGTTTGTTTTTTCTACATTGGCTAGAGGTATAGGGGGAGGGTTGAGATCTCAAAAAACATGTTTAACCCCCGCCGCATGTTTGCGCCTGTCACAAGTCAGGAGCCTCTGGCCTTTGTTAGTCTTGTATCATTTTTAATTTTAGTTTCCTGTGTATAATTTGGAGTTTAGTATGACGTCCATTATCACTGAACTAGTATACATATTTGTTTAGGGGCCAGCTGAAGTACGCCTCCGGGTGCGGGAGTTTCTCGCTGCATTGAAGACCCATTGGTGGACTTCGGCTGTTGTCTGCTCTATGGTCGGGTTGTTGTCTCTTTGACACATTTCCCATTTCCATTCTCAATTTTATTAAGGAAATCAAGAATTTTTCAATCAATTTTAAAGTACATTCAAATGAGTAATATTATCTATATTGAATGCTCTAGATATAAGTAACACATTTTAAAACAATAACCATCTGAGACCATGATATAAAAATGCAAGGCCAAATTTCAAAACAAAGGACAGCAATTAAAAAGATCCATTTACTAGTTAGATTATTTTAAAGCACGTATAATAAAAGTAGTACTTCTTTACTGTCATAAGTGGTAGAATTTTCCTAAAACATATATCTGACTTATAATTATAATAACGTCTCTGCTCTGTAGCTTTGGCAAACAAACAGGAAATCACTTGTAAAATAAATTCTTCTTCATTAATTCAATTACAATGCTCTGTACACTGTAGACGAGAAACAAATGATACAGCAAGACAATTCTACGCTAAAATATCTATAAATTAGAGGCCACGGTAGCTAACCGATGTTAAAAACTGTGTTAAAAAATGTGGTGCACACTTTAAAATAACCCGCTACGCGGGTTATTCAGTGTGCACCACATTTTTGATGTTATTTCTTCATAGACAGAAAAAATATTACAGTCATTCCTTAAATGTAAAATATGCAAAACTGGAGGAATCGCATGAACTCCAAAAGGTGCGAGACCGGTTGCATGCATCTGTAAATCAAGAGATCAAACGTATTATTCAAGTTTCAGTGCTCATGACAAGTGTTCCTGAGATTGTCATCATCAGATGTAATATAGATCAAATGTCCGGGATGCTTATTATTAAAATCATTCAATAATTTCAAAAGTCAAAAACGACCTTAACAAAAACAGCCAGAATCGTTTAATTAACAGTAAAATAATTTTTTTATATACTTCTAACTACATACATATCTTTAGCACTGTAATTTGACGAATCTCTTTTTATTGGTAAGCTATTTAAAATAAACACGTATTTATTTACATTTTAGTTGTTGTCTGCGGAGCAGTTTGCCTTTTGATTGCTTACGTCGTTTCTCAGCTCGGTGCATCTATTTTACAGGTAAATTGTAAAGAAAATTGATGTCAATATACATCTTTGATCTAAGATATGTGTTGGAGCTTAAAGCTAATTTTCACAGGACCTTTCCTGACATGAACTTATTTAGATAAATATCTAGTGTTTAATCAAAAATAATAAATGGTCAGTTCTGAAATGTTAAATAAAGCTAATTTTGCATCTCTACATGGTAAACACATCTTCGAAAATATGAAGCTATTCTTTGCATGCCTTATTACGTTTTAGTTCTCACAATTATTGTGTTTATCTTCATACGTTTGTTTCTGAACATTTATAAACATGGTCAGTCAAGCAATGTGGTTATCAAGAAACAAAAACTGCATATTCCTGTCCGTTTAAGAGAGTTTGTGGTATTGGAAATAGAATATTTTCTAGGGGCTCTGTTTAGTGATTAACGTGAATAAAAGGAGATGTTTGGTATTCATCAATGAGTACGACACAACAATACAATAAAACTAGAAAATACATGTGCAAGTCCTCATACTAACTGCTTTACTCGTTTATTGTTATCACTTATTTCATTGCAGGCAGCTTATATTTTGTTTGGTATGCTTGGAGGACCTTTACTTGGATTGTTCACACTTGGAATACTATTTCCCTGGGCTAATAAATGGGTAAGTGCATATAAGTGTTTATATCCAAAACGGTTCATTCTTTTATAGTATATTCAACTTGTACTTAATAATTTATAAAAACCAAGGACTTCTGGTGGGTTTTCTCAGATATTAATCAACACTGAAAGATTGTATCTGTCATTTATTTTTTTATCTCAATGATTACGTCAGTGCAAAAAAACCGGATACGTTGCGCATTTCTAAGTTTTATTAATAACCTTAATGTCTTTAAGGAAGATTGTTGAGAAAAAAATGCACTACTTTATTCAACTCGTATCGCATTTAGTAACAATGTAAAACTTTAAGAATAAATTATTTCTTGATAATACAGGTAGTTTATTTTAAAGGGAAATATTACATTAAACAGTATCTGTATAAATTATATATGCATATTTTTAATCTTTTTTCAATTATCTTTTTATTACACATGAGATATTTGCATCATTTTTATTTGTCAATACTTTTGCAATATTCATTGTGTACAATATCTGTTTGACAGGGAGCATTAATTGGTCATCTGACAGCCCTGGTAATAACACTATGGATAGGTCTAGGATCATATTTGAACAAAGTGGTTGTCACATCGCCATCAGCACTGACAATAGAAGGATGTCGTATGCCCAATGCTACAACAACAACGACAATGTCAACTATCCCATTAGTTTCCACTGGTTCTGTTATACTAGATGAAAAGTAATTACTATTTTTATTTCTTATACCGTTTGCAATGTTTCCTTTGATTGGATAATGGTGTAAGAAAAAAAGATGATACTGTTTACCGTACGCACCATACGTGTTACGCTCTCGAGACCAAAAGTTTTGAAAGCCACCAATACGACAAAAATTAAGAGCACAAATACCAAAAGGACCAAGACACATCAGCCAAAATCATCTCATTATAGTTTCAGTACAATTGAATAGCTAATGAACTAAACATTTACGGACAAAATTTATCTTCAACATCATTCCAGTATAAAAATATAACAAAACAATACTGAACTCCAAGGCAAATTCAAAAAGGGGAAGTCCATAAAAAAAGACAAAATCTAATCAATCAAAAGACCAAGTGAAAAACAACTGCATTATTCCTGACTTGGTACGGTAATTTTTTCAAGAAAATCTTGGGTTAAACCTATAGCTAGACTCCCACTTGTATGACAGTTGTTTATAGTTCATTTATATTGATAAAATTGGGTAAGCAACCCAAACAGACAGAATAGGTTTATGTATCACAATACCGACCAACTTGTCACCGAACAGATTGTGTCCTTAGGACTGGTAGTCAGTCCATCATCAGAAATACTTACCTAGTGGGAGTAAAAATCGTATGAAACTGATTCTCGTCATCATGGTACTTTTATAATATAAACTTTGGTCTATGACATATCTTCTTATTTCCATTTTCATCAGGAGATCTCGAGTCGAATAGCTGGGGAAGATGAAAAAATATAAAGAAAGATAATAAAGCAAAAAAGCATCAAACTTTGAACAAAGGCTCAATGTCAATTTTCATGTATTTTTAGTACAAACACGGTAGTTATTGAAAAGTCATTTGGCTATACAGCATTTTATTTGTCTCAAACTTGATTTGAAAAACAGTGTTAAAGGTATAAAAAAAAGCCTAATGTGGTCTCGTACAGTACCGATGGTCGTGGGTTCAATTCACGGTTGGCTCAAACCAAAGACTTGAAATTGTTGTGTGTTGCTTATCTCAGACAAGCACGCAGCATTTAACAGTAAACGTAAGACTGGTCGGCTCGGGGTTAGAATAATGTGTCCGGGTAGGGTGACATGTCTTCATGCGGACTATTACCTTTTGAACTAGCACCTTACACATCCTGCTGAGCGTGTCTATCTAGTATAAGCTAGATTCATATTCATATTACTTTAACATGTTCCTGTCTCGATATGCATGTAGTAATGCTTATAACTTTAAAACCCAATTCATCATCATCATCATCATCATACCAGCAATGGTACAAGGTACAAGGCCAGGAAACTCTCCATCCCTGTCGAGATTGCCATTGTAATTTTGACTATTAATTAGTTTTTGCGTTTATTGTTGTCAGATGGAAAAAAAATCATATAAAAATAGTCCAATTATAAACAGAACAAAGAAGCAGTATGTACTATCATGTACATTTTGTGTATTATCTGACATTATCTCTCTATTTATTTCTTTCCGACTTTTTCTAGAGATGATTTTCCATTGTACAAGATGTCTTATATATGGTATACAGGACTTGGCATGATATTAAACATTGTTGTTGGGTTGATTGTCAGTTTATTAACAGGTAATGTATACTAGTATACGTATATAATTTCGATTAATTCGTATTATAATTCTAAATAACACGGTTGGGTGTATACCTATCATGGGATGTGAAAAGACGCAAAAGGTTAACACGACGTTCACTTCACTTTGTGCACTTTATATATTCTCCACGATTACTGTGCATTTTCCTCCATATGTTAGTAGCCAATCTCATTGAAAATAAACGCATGTTTCTTATACGTTCTAAAATATTTTCAATCAAACACTAACCCTGGAAACAACCCCCTTTTTAATAACCTGCATTATCATTGATATCAGAGGTAAAATTATTTTGGAATAATGTGTAGAAATCTAAAACCATTAAACAGGAACAAAGTTAAAGCAGAGTCAAACCCGGCCAAGGTTTTACTGTTTGATTCGAGCTGCTCTAATGAATCTTATGTAGACAAACTATGCATCTGATTTACTAAACTTTAAGCCTGGGACCTATAAAGATAAATTTACGAACTTTGCATAAGAAAACGGAAATATGAACGTTCATCGAGTTATTTCAGTATATCGAAATAAGGTCAGTTACTCCAGGTCTTCATTGTATTTTAAATAATTTTATTTTTATTTTTACTTTTAATTTTTATTCTGTCAGGTCCGACAAAACCTAGTGAAATAAATCCAGGATTAATTTGTCCCATATTTGACGAATTATTTCCATGTCTTCCAAAGAAACTCAGGAAAAAGTTGCATTTTGGTGTCCGTCACGAGGATGTAAGTATCTGATTTATATATTCATAGATATATTTATATGTTTACTACAATTCTGTGAGTACTTGAGGTATTGAAAGTTTATTTTCTTGTTTTTTAACTTGGATACTGTTTCTCACAGTAGTTTCAACAGTGTGGTGTTATTTATTCGGTTCTTTGACTTTTTGGAGTATTGTTATTTACTTTGACTTAGTTTTACCAGTCTTTCACTTTCATATTATTAAGTGCCACTTATTGTTATATTTATTTCTACATAAAGTATATGAAAACACGCATTCCAGTCAGAAGGCAAAGATCAATCAATAGAATGACGTCATTTCCACAGTATGACTTTTTTCAGTGTTGACGCTGCTAATTTTTTTTAGACTGTTGGGCAAATCACACATTATCCATACGAAGACAGAATGCCCATGATACAGTTCCTTTTTCGGTGTATTTCAATCGTTGTTTTCAGTTAATCGTGTTATCTGTCATTTTTTTTGCAGTGGAAGGTATAGCTAGGTATAAAACCAGGTTTATCCCACCATTTACTTCGAGAAATGCTTGTACCAAGTAAAGAATGTGACAGTTAATTTTCGCTCGTTCCGTTGATTGATAATGGTTAATTTTGTCAGTTTTTATGGACTTTACCTTGGCGTTCGGTATTTTGCTTTCCTTTTTCCTAATGACAACTAATTTAGTGAATATTTCATTAAATCAATCTAGGATGAGCATTTGTAGCGCTTTGATTAATATAAAATATTTCAACAGTAGTATTATATTTGAATGAAAACAACAACTGTTTTGACTAAAGTTATTCACAGTTAACTTTGAAAACTGAAAATTTACATCGGCTACAAAGGGGAATGATAACATTATAATTTCATGCATATGCAGTCGTCCTGCATATGCATGAAATTATTGCCAATAAACGTGAAGCAAGCAACAATCAATTAAAATTTGATGTCTGTCATTGGTTATATACCTCCTTATTCAATTTTAAATCGTGTGCTGTCTCAAGTTATTCTCTGGATGCTTTTTATGAAGATTGATCCAATACCTGCATGTGAGGCATATAAATAAAAAACAAAACACATTAACTATAAGTATTGCAAACGTTTTACTTTGAATTTATTTTTGCCAATTTTAGTAATGTTGAAACTATCGTTCAATAAACATTTATTTTTTTTTATATCTTATATTTATAGTTTGTATGTCAATACCATATAATTGTTATCTTTGTAGTTCGTAAAATTTAGTCCAGACGATCCTGACACAAAAGATCGTGGTGGATACGATAACAAGGCTTTTGACTTCAAAGAAGCAGATGATATAAAAAATGAAAAACCTATAGCTACTGTTTATAACGGAAGTCCTAGTTATGCGATTGGAAAAGATTATGAGAAAGATTTTAGTACGAAGTTATAGAAATCCACACCACACAATATGATACTCAATAGCTGTCAAAGCTTATATACAGACCCGTTGAACTTATATATTTGGCACTTTATATATTACATTTAAAGGAATAATTGAAAAATGATTTGCAATCAAGTGAAATGTTTTTCTGAGTCAGCTGGAGTTAATCGAGTCTTTGAAAGTGCAATTTGTCTATCTAACTTGACGATTTGACGTACAATGTATATTCTTTTTTATGAATATTAATTATGTTTAGTTTTTATAGTTTAGATGTATATTATTATTGAATAAAGTTTTATTTTGTACAAACTTTGTTTTTCATATACACGAATTTACAGCTGTTGTGAGCTAAACTCATCGTAGACGTAGACGACTGATCTGATAGTAATGAAACTAAAGACAGATGTAGAACACTAACTGAAAATGTACAGAAAGGAATCTAATTCCTTGTCACTATATCAAAAAGGCGATAATCAAATCAAGGAGTTATTTGTTAGCGAGTTCAATCACAGTTCTAGTTGCTAAAGAACACATGTACTGTTTAACATATGATCCATCTGGCTCTGTGTCACGTGGAATATTTAGATCTGCTTAATCTTACCATGAGAACAAGTTGCAAAAAGTACAACACAGTTATGTTAGCCTTTAACCTGAACCAGCAACATATAAAACAAAAAAGCGACTTAAGGCCAATAAACAGTCTTGAAACTTAAGAAGCATCTTAACAAAAACTTTACAAGATGTCAAGCTTTGAATAACCCCGAGTCTAAAACAATATGAATAAACTTGATAGAGACCATCAAAAATATGCAGTGAGTCAACGCCAAACTGCAAACTGTACTAGTGTAAAAACACAGAGAGCAAGTGTGGACTTTTGCAATCAATTTATGTCCGTCGTCAATCGTTTCTTGTCGTTAAATTTCTTCTCTTCTTCACTTATTGAGCCAATTGAAACTAAACTATGACACAATCATTCTTGGTGTAACTTATTAAAATAGACCCGATTATCCCCGCCTGACAAGCAACTTTCACTTTGCCAACACGGCTAAAAATAGAACATAAGGGAAAATTAAAAGTATTGTCTAGTACCTTAAAAATTATTAAAGATTAAGAAAATCTGACGAGGAAGAAATATTCAAGTCGAGTAAGATTTACTTGTGGAGATTAAAATGATCAATCGACTCCTTATAAGAGTTATTGCCCTTAAATTAAGATTTTTACTTTTGCAATTTGGGCTATTATCCCTTGAAAACTACATTAGAAAGAGAGAAACTTTAAACAACAAGAAATTATCTGCAGGACACGGTCAGAAGAGCGAAATAGTCGGTCGACTTCTTAAAGTTGTTGCCATAAAAAAGTATAGTAAATAGAAAGAAACTGTAAATAGTAAAAATGAATCGTCAGTTGACACCTTGCAGGAGTTATTGATGCCTAAAAGCGTTTCATGTTTGTGCTTAAACTACAGTTGCAACTCAGTAATACGACGACCTTGGACGGTTTTTGGCTTTTCTGCTTGTTACTTTTTTGCGAATTAATATATCGTGCAGTTTCTATGTCATCGGAAGATAATATATCAGACCAAAAGTGACATATGGCTTGGCAAATAGTGTAGACAATTTAGACTTTATGTTTTTACCTATTACTAGGTAGTTGTTAACTATGCAAAATAAGTATGTGATCCTTTATGTCTTTCCATAATAAATGAGCTTATTTTCAAATGATATTGGCATACTAGTACTTTAATGATGTCGTGAATTCTTCATATCATGTATTTGGATATTGGAAACCACTAGTTTACTGTTTGATTTAAAATATGATTACAAAACATTAGCCTAAAACAAATCTAAAAAATGAAAAACATAGCTCAAAGCAATAGAAGAGTTCTTTGGAAAAAATTTCGAAATTAACCTGACATTTTTCCATGTCAGATAACTTAATAAGTACTTACGAATGATAATCCCGTCTATTAAACTAAAAGAATTGTAAATATAATACATAGAAAAGAATAACAGGACAGTACACAGACCACATCAAACACCAACACCTATTCTCCGAAAAGTTGACGTGTTTTTTTATAATTTCAAATGTGACGTCACTTTGTGCGTTGAGGCTTTGGCTAACTCGGCTGTGTATTTTTATGTGTTAGATTAAGTTGTTTTATGTAATGTATCCGTTTTTATTCTGTAGTTAGTCCCCACTTCGGTTTTATCATGTATATCTATTATATAGTCATTTTATAAAATTTACTGTTTACAAAATTATAAATTATTCTAAATAATAAGGATGTTCTTGTCCCAGGCAGAAAACCCTGGCCGTGTTGGGCGCAACTTTTTGGAAGTTTTGGTCCTCGGTACTCTTCAGCTTTGTACTTGTTTTGGCTTTCAAACTTTTTTCATCTGCGCGTCACTGGTTAATCTTGTGTGGACGAGAGGCACGTCTGGCGTATTGGATTTTAAACCTGGTGCCTTTTGTTAGCTATTATTCGTGTGTTTCTTTGTCCTATATGTTCTCCCATTTATTTGTATTGTAATCCTGTCATGTAATGTTGTCATTTTAATGTTATATTTAACATTGCCATAAAAGCGGGAGGTTTGGCATGCCACAAAACCAGGTTCAACCCACCATTTTTTCATAAAATGTCCTGTACCAAGTCAGGAAAATGGCCATTGTTATATTATAGTTCGTTTCTGTGTGTGTTAAATTTTAATGTTGTGTTTTTGTTGTGTCGTTCAAACTCATAATTCGAAAACAAACTGATAACGACATGGCTAAAAAAGAAAAAGACGAATAGAGAAACAACAGTACACAAAACACAACATATAAACAAAAGACTAAGCAACACAAACCCCACCAAAAACTGGGGGGTAATAAATGTAAAATACATACTAGTAATAGAAAAACCTGTAAAGTTATTAAGATAGCATTAGATTGACAACACACTTCATCGAGCAAAATAAAAGATGGCAGATCTTTTTAAGCAGGATCTACATGAGCCCGCTACTACCGGATGCTTACTAAGGAAACCAGTCATTGGTCGAATACGGCCACTCAAGAAAAGTGAAAAAATATCAGAAACAAGACTTCTTACAAGTTTGATGAAGTCTCATCATTATATTTAATTGAAATGGGCAATGTGACTATAGAAAGTATCTAGAATAGTAAGATGGTTGAAAGAGTATTTTAACTGAATTATTTTTGTAGATTACGCCTGTCGTCCTTGCTGTTCAAAGATGTTAGAACTTCTCTCAGTCTCGATATTTTTTGTTTTGTTTATGTTTTAGCTCTATTTACGAAATTGCAATAAAAGATTTACTGTCGAATTCAAGGCAAAGAGAAAAATTACATTAACAGGTAAACTAGTTCTTCTCGACAGAACGGTCTTTGAAACTGAAAACTGTGTAGCTGTAAAAAAATAGAATAAGCTTGGTAAAAGAGAGGCAGAAGATACCAGAGGGATATTCAAACTCAAACTGACAATGTCATGGCAAAAAAAAAGACAAAAAAACAACAGACGAAAAGACAAATAACAGTACACAAAACACAACATAAAAACTAAAGTCTGAGCTCTAAGAACTTTGAAAACTATTTGGTAATATTTATTACAACGGAACAAAATACTACAAAGATATGGAGATGGAACAGATAACATTCTAATAGTTATCACAATGATACATGAAAGAGCACAATAAGTCTATAAACACATCATCTTAATATGGCTTAATCATAATTACTGTTTTAAATTTTCCCAATATAATATTGTTGCAATATTTATCGTTTACAGGCAATTTCCTTATGTAGAAAATGGTGGATTAAACCTGATTGTATGGCTAGCTAAACCTCTCACTTGAATGACAGTCGCATAGAATTAAACAACTGTTATGATAACGTTTAATAAACTAATGGGAACGCATGGACAATATCAAAAACAATTAAACATTCCTTCATCATCTCACTTATTGTTCACGTGCTCCATGATTATGTGTTGATTGTTTATCGAGGTCACGATTGGTAAACTTCGGCACAAAAAAACAAAGATTAACAATCAATGAATGAAATATTTTTGTCGAATATACGTAACGGATTCGTGTAAGATATAAACAAATGTGAACAGAGGACTTAGCTTAGTATATATGCACTTAATGATTTAATAATTTTCTTTACATTATAATTACCAGAAACTCGTTTCATATGACTTTAATAAAAAAAAACTGACCATAAGAAATACAGAACGGTCTTTCTATATTTAACTTGAAAGAAGAAGTTTACTAGATACCATGGATGATGTTAATTTCTGCTAACTTAAAGATACAGTTGCGTTTGATTTAAGATACCTTTAACGCCTTATGGTAGCTCCCTATACCTTTCACGGCTTATGGTAGCTCCCTAAACCTTTTAATGATTTACTGGATGAGTGTGTCAAAATCATCCTATATAGGTTTTAGCAGACCTAAGATTGTGTACTTTGAATCCTTATTAATGCTATTGTCAATACAATTTTGTAATATACCCTTCACACCTGTTACTAAAGGTTATAAAAACTAGAAAAATAAGTATGCATTAAAAAAATGCTATATAGATATAAGAAGATGTGGTATGAGTGCCAATGAGACAACTCTCCATCCAAGTCACAATTTGTAAAAGTAAACCATTATGGTCAAAGTACGGCCTTCAACATGGAGCCTTGGCTTACACCGAACAGCAAGCTATAAAGGGCCCCAAAAATACACTGGTTTGTGTTCATTTTGCTCAAGAGATTGATCGTTATTTAAGCTATTTTATAGTTTGTTCATAAAATTAATCAAGTGCAAAAACAATGCAAATAAGTGCAACTTTTTGTCGGTTTCTATAGTTTAATTATAACAACAAACATAAATAATTGCACAAACATGCAGATTAATCATGTGTTTATACGTTTCAAAATACTAAAATCGCCTTTGTGGTCTTGTTGTGAAATATTGTTTGCGAGAACTAGATTTCTGATAGAGAGAAAATTTCGTATTCAAATCGCAAACCTATTCTCAACCTTGATCTTGTTGACGGATTGCCAAGCAATGAAAAATCAATCCATCTTAACATCTAATAAAATAGTCATGTAAACAAGTACTTCAAAGAATAGTAATTATAAAATCATACCTAGATTTGAGACTTATTTGTTTATTTACATTCGAAAAACAATCAAACCATTGATACATTTCAAGAAACATTAATGATACATCTTGCAGTGAACGAAATTGTGTATGTCCTGAAATCATTTGAATCGATGGCGTCGTTTAATCCTAGTGGCTTGTTGTTCATTTAAGGTGATGCTT